GTAGGTAAGTATGGGGATAAAGATCGACTTGAATATTGAGAGCTTAGTTTTCAGACTGAGCACTGCTTTATACACAATGGATCGGGCTAATTCACGCAGAACGCCACTGGCTACTCCAATTCGCCGTTCGATCTCTTCCTGCAATTCTCCATCATTAGTAAATACAGTTCCGAGGTACTTGAGTGTCGTGGTCAATTCTTGTGCTGTCGTAGAATTCTTCAGGGAGTCTCCGCTCTCAAAGTAGCTGTCACGAGTTAAGCATGGAACTCTGCTGTGAACGATTGGCCAATTTAGCGAGTTCAGCGATGGATGTCCGTGGTCATTCTCCTTATGCGAGTACATGAGGAAGCAGAGCAGCTGCGTGCCGTACAAGAAGCTCAAGCGAACCGAATAATTGAATTAAATGAACAAATTGCACGACTTTGGAATATCACCCGGTGGCTAGACAAAAAGTTCTATGGCAAGGGGTGTAGTCGATGTTCGGCAAGCGATCACTGCGCTTCCAAACTGAAACTGACGAATTGCACCTTGGACATAAACTCCGATGATTCAGATGTCATCACTGACCACCACCGTCTAGCGCAAAAAACGGAGAATCTCTCTCTTAACTCTTTCGAAAGTTGCGTTCAGCCTACGCCATCGAAACGGATTACGAGTTGTTCTGACAAGTATGACAACGGGACAAGAGGCAGCAGAGAAAAAATCCAAGCTACGACATCGCCGGAAGAACGACTGCATTGGTGGAGAAAAATCTTTTCGAGCACCAGGCCGAGTGCAAGAAATTGATCCGTGGCCTTCAGATCAACTGTCGGATGAATCCTCGTGTTCCGTCCGATATCGGTCAGCGCCTGCCACTTTTCAGTGGCAGCAAGAGACGGCCAACGAAACCGAAGAGCAAATACTGCTTTCACGGTCATCTTCTGGTTCTGTAAAAAGGGCAGTTCCAGCACGAAACGCAGCGGATGCTCTGGTAACTGAGCCACTGCCTAAGGTCGACCTTGGGGGAACAACTATGGAAGCGCAGGCTGTGAATCCCGTCACAGATGCTTGCCATAATAATCAACCTGTCATTAAGACCCGAGAAGCTGACAAATTGCACACACGGACATACTCCCTTGAAAAAGACCTTAATTGGGGCGCCTTCAGCGGAGATTAGCCTTTGGCGTGTCTTCCGGGCCTCATCCGATCGTATGACATATTGGATAGTCCAAGCCAAGCAACGAGGATGTCTCCTACTGCAAAGATACGAAACTGGCTACGCTTTGGACGCCGTAGTTTCCATAGCCATCGTCGTACTGGTTGTATCTGCAAGTGTCTGAATCAATGCAGGAATACTGTAAGCAGTCATTGTATTAATGTACTCGTAACAATAACATGCGTGAGTTAATATTTGCATGACACTCGGCGAAGTCACTATAGAAAGTTGCAGGGTTTTTGCACGTCAGGGATCACCGTTATTGATTGACATTGCCAAGAGAAGTTATTGATGATGCCGATGCGAGTTGCGTATGACAAATGGCCACATTTCTCGTGGTACCTTCTATTCTTGTAGCTTCAGAAGTAAGAAAATTCAAAAATGTGACCACTGGTTCACAATGTTGCACCGTGCAGCGCGCTCCGGACTCTGATCATTGCTCACTCTTCAAGACGCAGACATGCTGCATGCAAATTAAATGCTTTCTTTAAGTATGATACGTGAATTTTGTCGAAACACTGCATTTCTAAGTTTCATTTAGTAATTGCGTTATGTTGAAGATGCTAGGTCACTTAACTCACAGTACGGCTAGTTTTGAGTTTAACCTATGTACTTGACTGATGGACAGAAGTATGAGATGGTTGATATAGCCATCATTCATCCATCAGTTCGTCGTACTTGTGAATTTAGAAAATTTTACTATATTGTGCTATTTCATAATAGTGGCTGCGTCAGGGAGTTAGTCGGTGGAGAGTCATTTAGCCGAGAATTGGAATTCCTGTATTTTGCAGACATCTGTTTCAATCCTCTTTTCGCTTTCTTTAATCATGTCGCATGCCGATGGGTAGTTCTTTATGAAAACGGTGCAAAACTTCAGTCAAATATTCGAATTC